TGCAGGCGACGGACAACCATGGAAACAAATCACTAGATCACAACAGGAAGAACAGTAACAAAAACTCTGTGATTTAATGTGTCGATCAAGATTCTCAGTCATCCAGATAAGAACTGTCTGGATGTTGAGTCCATTGCAACTGGACTTCTTTCCTTGTTGGTTGGAAACGTTTCGCTGCTTATCCAGGTAGAATCCGAGTGGACCGAAGAAGCTACTTGGCAGCGAGAGGTTTCGAACAAAAAGAAAAGAAGTCCAGTTGCCATGATTCAACTTCCAGAGGTCTAGGATGAAATGTGCACCAGGAGAAGGAATGGATGGTCTCCCAGGAAGCAGACAACATATTATAGACAGACGCCCAAATTAAGAGACTGCATAGTTCAAAGCTGGATGGGGGGGAAAGGTTCGGGCAGCCACATCCTAGATCAGTGGTGGCTAACCTTTTTCGGTTCTCATGACGATAATTGCGCGCACACTCGCTCCCGTGCCAGAACCCAGAAGGCAATGCATGCTGGTCCTCCTTGCCCTCTCTGCATGTGCGCGCAATACCCTCACACGCTGTTCTGACCGAACCGGGTTCTCAAAGAACACAGACAAAGGCAGCAGCCCCCACCTTTTAAGGTTTATTAGCAAATTCTGTTCTGAAGGCTGCTTCCCACTAATTAGCTCCGACAAGAAAGAGCCTTGCCAGGTTGTTTGTCAAGGCTGCCAAAAACCCAGAGATAAGAACTAATTTTTCAAGATTCTCCAAACACGAACGGAGATGTCCACCAGTTGAGCTTCAGAGCTTCTTTGCTGTCTGCAAAGAACACTTTTTTAAACCTGGCTTTTATCCTCTTGCGGGAGGGGCCATTACCTTGCAGCCTTACTCCTGAGTCGTCTGTGCTGCTGTAATTGTTCTTTCCTCCGAGCAATCCTTCGTGCACGTGCACTTGGCACAGAGCTTGATTGGATTTGACTGTGTCATCTTTTGGGCCTCAAGTCACAATTAGGGCCTACCAATATTTGCAGCTCAGGGTTGAACTGGGGGTGGTCTTTGGTGCTCTGAAGAGTTTTGTGGGTTTCTTGCAGATGTTTCATGATGAGGTTACCTAGTTTGGTAATGTAATGTCTGTAAGAAAACCAACAAACTCAGAGCGTACCAAGAACCCCACAGTATATCTATTACGTTAGGTAGCTTTAGTTTGTCAAGGTTCTGTCCATTAAGTGTAAGCAAATAAACCATTGGGCTTGACTGGATTTCACTGTGTCATTTTGGGGCTTGGGCCTGACAAGGCACAATCAGGGCCTACCAAGATGAACCAGCTCCCACAACCTTAGTCTTCAAACATTTCTGAAGGCTAACACAGGGTCAGGGACCTGTCAAATCCAAGGAGGAAGATTGTATCTCAAGATAGGACATAATTTCCCTTATGCCAATGGCCAGAAGTACAGAAGTTTACTTTGGACAGACAGCAGTAAACATAGAAGAGCTTTGAACCTGGCCCAACAACCCTCAGAAGAGTCAAGGTGGCAGATGCTATCTTGCTGATTTTGCCTACTTCATACCACAAACACCGCTGTCTTTGGCACACTGAAATGCTCTTGCTTCAGTTACCCTGGATGGATTTAACATGGTATAGAATTTATTTCCTGCAAGGAGAGGGCAGGTGTGGGCTTGTATAGATTACTAAACACACATCCCTTTTTTCTGTTCATTTTAGAGAAACGTTTAAAGATCTTTTCCTGTACCATATTTACAAGCTGGAACAAGTTTAGCTTTATGTTCTTGTTTCTGATTATAATCTTATATCCCACTATTGTAAAGTCTTGCTTGTAAAATTCACCGGGCTTGACTGCCCGTAAAAATTTAAAAAGATCTCCAAAAGCCTAATTTATAAAATGGCATTCTCATATTTCTGTCCATTGTGTTCAGTCTTTAAGGCATCTAGTTTCAAAGTTGTTGGTTTTTTTTGTTAAACTTATTTTTAATTAAACCTTTTGGAAAATAAAAAAGTACAACACAAATAAGCAAATAAGAAATACGAAAAATATCTAAAGAGTTGCAATTTTCCACTATATCAAATATTCAATACATTATTTTGGGGCTGAATATCATGAAATACCCATCATCACAAAGTTTGAACCATAGCTTGCTTATTTCAAAGGAAGGTAGCATCATACAATGTTGATAAGATGTGTATGGGGAAATGTACAGTATTCCTACGAATTGTGGAATTATGTCCAAATCTGGCATTGTTTAAGGTTTTTTTTTAATTTATCATTCTCTTGGCAGCATATGATTCGTCCCATTATTCATGGAATAGGAGTTTTCTAGAAGGACCTTAACAGAATCCCAGAGGGACCTCAGAGGGCTTCTAGTCCAACCCCCGCACCTGTACCATTTCAGACAATCTCTTAAAAACCTCCAGTGATGGATCATCCACAACTTCTGGAAGCAACCTATTCCACTTATTCTGTAGAGATTCTCCGTCATCCAGGTCATGGTTATCCCAAAAGTACTTTTTTCAGGAGGCAATTATACTTTTTTTGTTGTTTTTTAAGGAGTTTTGCTTCTCATCCAAAAAGCTTCTTCAGCTCTGACTGGATGGTAGGGAGGGGAAGGATTTATATTCCTTGCAGACTGCTGGTCATTTGCATCCTTTTGGAGGGTTGTTGAGGCCACTTGGAGGTTTATCAATGTCCTCAGGGTCACCTGAGAAGTCTGTAGTCTGCAATTGTTTTGTTTTTTTTTGTTCCTGGAAATCCATTCATACTCCCACATCATCCAGTCAGAGCTGAAGAAGCTTCTTGGATGAGAAGTGAAATGTCTTCAAAAGAAAAACCAAGAAAGTCCAGTTTGCCTCCTGAAAAAGCACCTTTTTGGGACAACCATGACCTGGGTGACTGAGAATCTCTACAGACTTTTAGCTATGCAATTTGGGATGAACACCCTTCGAATGGTGTGGAAGTAGGAATGGATTTCCAGAGGAAAAAATAATAATAATTGCAAGCTACGGGAACCATTAAAGCTACTCAGGTGACCCTGAGGACACAGAATAAATGTTGCACTTATTGTTTCCTCAACCTTAGTTAGCTTGGAGTTCACGTGTGGACTGTCTTCCACTCCCACAATTCCAGCAAGGTATAGACTTTGAACTCTCACTTTCAGCCATTGGGGGTGTGGAGGGGGGAGGAATGCTCTTGAAACACGAACTTTCCTTAACACCCTTCCTTGACTCAAAAGCTTGGATTGATTTCTTTATGTGTATGCCCGTGTAAATATATATTTTTCCTCCAGCAGCTGCAACCTTGCTCCCATCCACCCCTATAACACTCCTGGACACACACACACACCCCACGGAGAGAGTCTGCTGTGGCACCAAGGACCCTTTCCTGCACTCACACCGGCCACGAAAGCGGAGCCTAACGCCTGAAATCCGTCTCCGTACATCAAAGGGTGCAATCAAAGGGGCTTCTCCAATTCAACTTTCTCCTGGGCGAAAAAGGCAGCCGGGGAAGCGGTTCTGAGGAGGGGGCGACGAAGGCAAGGAAGACAAACCCCCCCAATCTCTCTCCCTCCCTCTGTCTTTCTCTCTCTCTCTCACACACACACACATCTCTCTCTCTCTACCTCTCTCTTTCTTCCTCCCTCCCCCTCTCCCTCCCTTTCTCTTTCTTTCTCTCTCTTTCTCTCTGCACTTTCTCTCTTTTTTCTTTCTTTCTCTCTCTCACACACAAACACTCACACACAACCCTCTCACTCACTGTCTAGCTAGCTCTCTCTCTCCCTCACTCTTTCTTTCTCTCTTTTTCACCCTCTCTCTCTCACTCTTTCTGCATCCCTCTCTCTTTCTCTCTCCACTCTCTTTCTCCACTCTCTCTCTCTCCCTTTCTCTTTCTTTCTCCCTCCCTCCCTCTTTCCCTCCCTCCATTTATCTATCTATCTTTTCCCCTTCTTTCTCACTCACTTTCTCCTTCACTCCCTCCATCCATCTCTCTCCCTTTCTCTTTCTTTCTCACTCCCTCCATTTATCTATCTATCTTTTGTTTCCCTCTCTCTCTCTCACTCACTTTTTCCCTCCCTCCCTCCCTCCATCTCTCTTTCTCTTTCTTTCTCTCTCCCTCCATCCCTCCATCCATCCATCTCTCTTTCTCTTTCTTTCTCTCCCTCTCTCCCTCTCTCCATTTATCTATCTTTTCTTCCCCCCCTCTCTCTCTCACTTTTTCCGTCCCTCCCTCCCTCCCTCCCTCTCTCTTTCTCTTTCTTTCTCTCTCCCTCCCTCCATCCATCTCTCTTTCTCTTTCTTTCTCTCTCCATCTCTCCCTCCATTTATCTATCTTTTCTTTCCTTCTCTCTCCCTCCCTCCCTCTTTCTCCACTCTCTCTCTCCCTTTCTCTTTCTTTCTCCCTCCCTCCTTCCATCTATCTATCTTTTCTTTCCCTCTCTCTCTCTCTCTCACTTTCTCCCTCCCTCCATCTTTTCTTTCCCTCTCTCTCTCTCACTCACTTTCTCCTTCCCTCCCTCCCTCCCTCCCTCTCTCTCTTTCACCAACAGCCGGGCTGGAAGAGAGCGGGCGGCCTCCGCCGAGCTTCCCAGCCGGATCAGGGGCTCTTCAGGCCGAGCCGAGGCGTTCGCGGCCGGCCTCTTCCCCTTCCCCTTTCCCCCCGTCCCCCGTCCCCCAACCCGCTCGCCATCCCCGCGCTGAGCATCCTCCGCCCAGCCGGGAAGACGGGCGCTCAACCGGGGCGCCCCCCTCGGCTCTGCCCCCCCCTCCCCATCCTTCGCGCGGCTTGCCTCGCCCGCCCCTCGGGGTGGGGGGTGGGGGAGTCTCTGCGGGGAAACCCACCGCACCCCCCCCCACTCCGGTCCGCCCCCCTCCCTCCGCACCTGCCGGAGGGGGGCGGCGCCGGGCTCGGCCAGCCGGGAGACGGGCGACCCCCGCGGGCTTCCCAGGCAAAGACGGCTGGTCGATGATCCCGCCGGCAGCGAGGAGGAATTGGCGTCGGGGGAGGCGACTCACCGGGCTGCTCGGCCGGGAAGCTCAGCGCCGGGCAAAGCAGCACCAGCAACAGCAGCAGCAGCAGCAGCGCAGAGCCGCGGGCGCTCGCCGCTGTCCGCATCCTCGCCGGCGGAGCGGAGTTCGGGGCCGGGCCGGCTATGGAGGCTGCGAGGCGGGCTTCCCCGTCCCGGGACCTCCCCCGGGGAGGAGCCGCTGACTCCGCTCCCCACTCCAGCCAGCCACCCCCGGAAGAAAAGGGAAGGGAAGGGAAGGGAAAAATAAACACAGAAAAAGAAGAGAAGGAAGAGAAGAGAGTAATCGAATAAAATTAGAATAGAATAGAATAGAATAGAATAGAATAGAATAGAATAGAATAGAATAGAATAGAGAAATAGGGTAAAATTAGAATGGAATAGGAGAAATAGGGTAAAATTAGAATAGAATACAATAGAGTAGAGTAGAGTAGAGTAGAGTAGACAAACAGGATAAAATTAGAATACAATAGAGTGGAGTGGAGTGGAGTGGAGTGGAGTGGAGTGGAGTAGAGTAGAGTAGAGTAGAGTAGAGTAGAGTAGAGTAGAGTAGAGAAATAGGATAAAATTAGAACAGAATACAACAGAATAAAATAGAATAGTTGGAAGGGACCTTCAAGGTCTTCTAGTCCAACCCCCTGCTTAGGCAGGAGACCCTCCACAGGGTTAGATTGCCCCTTGGTGACAAAGGGGCCAGGATCATGAGCGTGTATTCTCCCCAACGGAACACAACTGCGATGGTAACTCACGTGAAATAGTCTCTGGGGATTTTATTCCTGGGAGGAAATATCTATAATCGGATTCAATGCATTGGATCTCCCCCAAAAACTAAGCCCAATCCCATAGTTTCCTAGCGAAGCACGGGTATTGAGCTAGTTCACCAATAAAAGTAAGTGGTACCTATTTTTAAACCTCATGAGGTCTCCCAGCTGATTCTTGGAAACATGCCGACCAACTTCTCACTGCTAAGAAGGAACCTGGTCCTATTTTGGAGGCTGCGCCAGTTATACTACCTCCTTATTTCATTGAAGCTAACTCTTGTGTTTTGCAAACTTGATCATTTTTAAGACAGGTGGACTTTTACTCCCAGAATTCCTCGCCAACATAGGGAATTTTATTTATTTATTTGATTTGTCAAACTCTTACCAGATAATAGGTATAAGTATAAACATAGTTTTGAATACATGAAATGGATACATATAAGAAAAATATAAAAGAAACAATAGGACAGGGACGGTAGGCACGTTGGTGCCCTTATGCACGCCCCCTAATTCTGGGAACTGAATCCACATAGCATAAAGTCACCAAGTTTGGGGGGGAGGGAAGGCTTTTAATATAAATGCCTGGGCGTAAGCTAAACGTAAGGGTGCATTTGCACAACACTGCACATCAAACTTGGCAGGGTTTCCACGTGTTTTGCAAACTCCGTAATTGGAATAAATCACGACTTGCGTCTCCTCCAGCAAAGGGGCGGCCGCTGCTGCCATCTGTAGGCTAAGTTGCGAAGCGCCGTTCTTCTTTTACCGCTTTGTCTTCATTGGTTGCCGGGAACGGCCGAGCGGCCAATCGAAGCTGCGCTTGAGAAAGTGGGAGGAGCGACGACTGAAAGAGCTTCTTTCAGCCGAATCGGTGGAGGATCTGGGCTTGCAAAGCTGTGATTGCCTCTAGGTGGCAGCAGAGCGCAGTTCCGCCAGCTTTACCATAGGGACTGCATGTCATCCCGAAGAGATTTCCCGTCCCAGATCAGTTCACGGCGCTTTTACCCTAAAGGTTCGGCGGTCCTTCTATTTCTTTCTCTCTATGATTACACGGCGGCGACGCCCCTTGACAAGACTAGCTTTTGATTGGACAGAGCCGCGAGGCGAGGCCCGCCCTTTCAGAGGAACTGCTTCGCGATTGGTTGAAAAGGCGCCCGAGCGAAATACGCATTTCCGAAGCGGCCGGCCTCGGCCGGAAGTCGGAAGGGCGCCGTCTCCGCTATGGCGGCCGGGGGCCCGATTTGTTACGCGCTCCTGTGTGGTCAGGCGGCGCTGTTGCTGGGCAACCTGCTCCTGCTGCAGGGGGTCTCCCGGACCCACCAGCACAACGCTACCGACAGCCCCGCCGGCGCCGCCGCTCGAGACGCAGAAGCGCAGCAGCGGCCCCCTCACGCAACCACCGCCTCCGCCAGCCTCTGGGAATACCAAGGCCCGTACGCGCCGCTGATTCTCTGCAACCACCTGTGAGAACCGGTGGGCGGGGACTTCAGGAGTGAGGGGGCGGGGCCAGGCCTATTTAAATTGGAGCCGAAAAGCATTTTTGTAAAAAATGGCCCTGCAGAATGGTTGTTAAGATGAGGGGCGGGGCTTGATGGGCGAGGGGGCGGGGTTTGTTTAAATTGGGCGAAAAGCATTTTAAAAAATGGCCCTGCAGAATGGGTATAAGATGGGAGGCGGAGCTTGAGGAGCGAGGGGCGGGGTTTATTTAAATTGGGTGAAAAGCCTGCAGAATGGGTATAAGATGGGAGGCGGAGCTTGTGGAGCGAGGGGGCGGGGTTTATTTAAATTGGGCTAAGAGCCTGCAGAATGGGTATAAGATGGGAGGCGGAGCTTGAGCGAGGGGCGGGCTGGAGGGGCAGGGCTTATTTAAATAGCGAGGGGTGTAAAGCATTTTTTAAAAGTGGCCCTGAAGAATGGATGCAAGGCTGCCCCTTAAGGGCTTTGTAGCAGACAACTCTCACCAGTTGTGGGTGGGCGATGCAGGTCTTTCCCCACCCTCACCTCTAGGGAAGCTGCCCCAGAGAACCATGGGAGTTAGAGGTCATCTGGCCTGCCCTTTTTCCCCCCCTCCTTAGGGGCAGGGTCCCCTGGTGCATCTCGGGGGCGTTTCTAGCCAGCGTTAGATTGCACATGGCTGGCAAAAACAAAACAAAACATCCTCTTTCCTGGCAGGGAGGACAGGATGTCCTCGATTTACGACCACAGTGGAGCCCAACCATTTCTGTGGGCGAAAGGGAACAAAAAAAACCGTGTTCAGCGCATTTTGCCCCGTTTTGCGACATTTCCTTGCCAGGGTTGGGAAGTGGATCGCTGTAGTTGTTAAGATATTGACAGCGTTGTTAAGTGGATCTTGAGTTTCTCCTATTGACTTTGCTTGTCAGAAAGTCGCAAAAAAGGGATCGCACACGAAACCTGGGAAACCGCAGCCGCCATAAATATAAGTCGGTGGCCAAGCGCCTGAATTTGGATCTCCTGACCAGGGGAATGCTGCAATGGCCGTAATGGTGAAAAACGGCCATAAGTCACTTTTTTTCAGCTACGGTTTTAACTTTGAATGGTCACTAAGTGAATTGTTGTAAGTCAAGGACTACCTGTAGTATATTCCACTGGACAGTAACTCCTGGTGTTACGAAAAGGTTGGAAAAATTGCTGCCTTGAATTGGTACAAATGCGTGGAAGCACCAGCTACTGTGGTGTGATTATGTCATGCAAATAGTTTTATGTTTATCCCAAAGGTGCTTTTTTCCAGGAGGCAACTGGACTTTCTTGGTTTTTTCTTTTGAAGACGTTTCACTTCTCATCCAAGAAGCTTCTTCAGCTCTGACTGGATGGTGGGGAATGGAAGGATTTCTACTCCTTGCAGACAGCTGGTCATTTGCATCCTTTTAGAGGGTTGTTGAGGCCTTTTGAAGGTCTGTCTGGTCCTCAGGGTCACCTGAGTAGTTAGTGCAAATGGTTCCTGTATCTAATTTTTCCTCTGGACATCCATTCCTTCTCCCACACTATTCCAAGGTGTTCATCCCAAATTGTATAGCTAAAAGTCAGTCATCCAGGTCAGTTTTGTCCCAAAGGTGCTCTTTTCAGGAGGCAACTGGACTTCCTTATTTTTTTCTTTTGAAGACATTTCACTTCTCCTCCAAGAAGCTTCTTCGGCTCTGGCTGGATTGAGGGGAATGGAAGGATTTCTATTCCTTGCAGACAGCTGGTCATTTGCATCCTTTGAGAGGGCCATTGAGGCCACTTGGAGGTTTATCTGTGTCCTCAGGATCACCTGAGTAACACACATGGTTCCTGCAGCCTGCAATTTTTCCTCTGGAAATCCATTCCTGCTCCCAACACCATTTCAAGGGGGTTCATCCCAAGTTGTATAGCTAAGTCTGTAGAGATCCTCCAGGTCATGGTTGTTCCAAAGGTGCTTTTTCAGGAGGCAACTGGACTTTCTATGTTTTTTTCTTAGAAGACATTTTGCTTCTCATCCAAGAAGCTTCTTCACCTCTGACAGGATGCTGGGGAAGGGAAGGATTCATATTCCTTGCAGACAGCTGGTCATTTGCATCCTTTTGGAGGGTCCTTGAGGCCACTTGGAGGTTTATCTGTGTCCTCAGGGTCACCTGAGTAGCGCTAAAAGAGCAAGGCAGACTACAGGAACCATTAGCATTACTAAGCATCCGGAGGCGGCCAGTTCTGGACATGGATGTCCACTGCTTCATTTCTTTTCAATGTCCTCTGGAACTCTAGATGTGACTAAAGGGGAGCTCCCATCTCGACTAATGGCAAAGGTGTAGCAACATCTGCAGTGATTCACTTAACAACTGTGGCACGAAAGGTTGCAAAAGTGGGTCAAACACACTTAACTGTCTCGCCTAGCCACAGGAATTTTGGGCTCAATTGTGGTTGTAAGTCAAGGACTAACTCTTATCAGCAAAGTACTTTTTGAGAGCGGTTTCTCAAACCTGAACTCGGTGTTTGATTTATATAATTTGTATAGTTCTCTGTGCATTTGTATTCAATGTGTCCATAAACATTTTGTACAGTTGTATATGTTCATATATGTGCAGTCACACTTATCTTTGTGTGCTCGTGTACATACATTTTGTTGTGTTTTCCATTGACACATTCATGGATGCCTTGCATATTTGCATACATGTATTTATATTTTACTGTTGTTTTGCACTTCGGGTTGGATGCTAACTGCATTTCGTGGCCTGTATTCATGGCAATGACAATAAAGCTGAATCTAATCTCCTCTATAATCTAATATGCAGACCCGAAGAATTCATAGAATGTGAGGCTCCTGTGGACCATAACGGAAACTTGAGCGCATGGGATGAATTAGGTTATGGCTGTCTCAAGGTGAGCAAGGAGGTCGTTCTGTTGTCTTTTTCCTGAAGGACATTTGAGTTTTTAATTGGCAAAGGAAGATTGGCCCAAAAAACTCTGCTGTTTTCTGTCCTTATATAACAGTTTGGTGGCCAAGCATACAGCGACGTCAGTCACACCCGAGTCCTTTGCAGGGCATTGGATGGCATTGAGTGCGCAGGACAGCGAATCTTTCTGCGTGGGAACAAGCCCTGCATAAAGTGAGTCCCTCTTCTTGGTAAATGGTTGTGGTTTTGGGCGGCAGGGCAGGTTGACAATGCAGCAGCCAGGTGCAGCACACCTGGGCACTAATTGTTTGGTTTGGGTTTTATGAGCTTCTCTGCTCATCAATAAAACCTGAACACGTAATTCTCAGAGTGCTGTCTAATGTGTATTTACCCATGTAGTATGGCTGTAGTCTTCTTCTCCTTCTCCTTCTTCTCCTCCTCCTCCTCCCTCTTCCTCTTCCTCCTCTCCTCCTTGTCCTCCTCCTCCTTCTCTCTCTCTCTCTCTCTCTCTCTCTCTCTCTCTGTGTCTGTGAAATACTACTCATGTATCATCACAAAATCTCCAGAACCATAAAGCCTACAAACTTGAAATGTGGCACATATGTCCCTCTTGGCTTCTAGGTGCTCACTAGGAAAGGATTTTCCAAATGACCATCAGAGCATTTAGGTATTTCCTATATTATTATTATTAACACGCTCTGATGCTAAGGAGTTCTACTCCCCCTCCCCACCTGAAAAGGAATCTGTCCCAAATGCAAAACACAAGCAGAGGAGTTTCAGTTTCAGAGAACCAAGCATCTTTACTACAGAACAGTTGAGCTAAGCCACGCCCAGGCTCCTTGTTGTCTCCTTCTTGCTTATACAGCAAATACTGCTTCAGTTTCCAAACAGCCCTCAACACTCTCACACACTGACAGGATGCTAACCAGATGAATACCGATGGATGCTGGTAGGCAGAGGCAGAACTTTCCCCCCCCCCCTTTATTTTCCTCCCAAAAAAACTTACCTGATCACATCATTTCGTAGCGAAGCAGGGGTATCCAGCTAGATTTAGATATGCAATTACCTATGTAGTATGGCTGCCAGAGCTGAAGGAAGCTTCTTGGATGAGAAGCGAAACGTCTTCAAAAGACAAAACAAGGAAGTCCAGTGGCCTCCTGAAAGAAGCACCTTTGGGACACGGCAGGCTCTATTCCACGCAGTTCATGTTACATCCATTATTAGAGGGACGCTGTGCATAATATCTAAACCTTTGAATATTTTTTCCCCTTCTCTCGGCCGACGTTTGAATTCCAGGTACACTGGGCACTACTTCATTACCACTTTGCTCTACTCCTTTTTCCTTGGCTGTTTTGGAGTGGACCGCTTCTGCCTAGGCCACACAGGTACAGCCGTGGGAAAGCTGCTGACGCTTGGAGGACTCGGCATCTGGTGGTTCGTGGACCTGATTCTTTTAATTACCGGAGGACTCATGCCCAGCGATGGGAGCAACTGGTGCACCATTTATTGAAAAGCTTGTCAGGTGTTTTTTTTTTGTCGGACTTAATCCTGAGAGGACAAAGACTGGCAGCCGAGCTGACGTGACCTACTCCATGAGATAAGATCCACGGCGACCAAAGAGACTGGAGGTGGTGTATTTATTTTTTATTTTTTTTCCCCCATGGAATTGGGATGGGGCTGAACAGAAGAAAATGCCAACCACAATTTCTGCGGTATATACCTCATTGTTTTAAAAAGTTGTTCTCCTCCTTACAGGAGGACTGTACATTTATTTATGAATGCCATGCCGTTTTCGACGTGCCGTGCTCCACTCCTTGCTTTTCAGCTTGTGCCACAGTAGTTTGCTGTAGATGTGTGCACAGCTCCAGGTTTTTGTTGCTGCAAGTTCAGAAGTTTTTATAATCAAATTTTATAATCAGTCCATTTGGCTGGAATTGGCTGGCCGGAATTTGCAAGGTTGTTAAGGCTGTACTAAAAGATGGTGGTTGATTTACTTTCAACTTTAGGAGGGCGGCACTCCTTTCCCCCTGAAATAAATCCTTAAACAAAGTCCCTCTTTATGTCTTTGTGCATAGATAATCTCCGACAATCCTTCTCCGTTCTTAAATCTCATTTTACAATGGAGGTATGGACAAGCAAGAGTACCTTTCTTTAGCTCAAGGGTCTTCAAACTTCACAGCTTTAAGACGTGTGGACCTCAACTCCCAGAATTCCTGAGCTAACATGACTGGAGGAGGAATTCTGGGAGTTGAAGTCCACACGTCTTAAAGCTGTCAAAGTTTGAAGATCCCTGCTTTAGATACTCAATTGTAACTTACTTAAATCAACTCCAAAATGTTAACTCAAAAAGCAGAGTCCTTCATGCCTTAAACCAGGATTGGGGACCATGGCCTTTTTACGATGTGTTGATTTCAATTCCCAGAATTCCTGAGCCAACCAGGAATTCTGGGAGTTGAAGTCCACACGTCATAAAGGAGCCACGGTTTCCCCCTCTCACACCCCAAAAAATGACTCATCTCTTCCCTCCCACCCCAAGAGAAAATGGTTGGAGACAGATTTTTAAGACCAATCAGCCATTCTAAAAATTAAACACAGAAGCACATCCTTGCAATCAAATCTCCACGTTTAGAAACCAGCCATGCTAAAATAATAGATATCGTCGGGGGGGGGAAATCCATCCAATAGCGGTTGCATGCAACAGGATCAGGTTCCCCCTTGTCTATTCTGTGACATTGTATGGAAGTTTATAGGATATTTACCTTTCAAAGCTGAAATCAAAATGTAATTCCTTTTTGCAGTATAATGAGACCTGACGGACGGCTGAACTTTCCGGGCGTTGCACCATATTAAGAGTAAAAACTCTCGAAGTGTCAGATGTGATGGGTTTTTCTTTGTAACATTTGAGGTGCCTTTAAAAAGGAGAGCCAGTCTGATGTGGTATATTTGGTCATCTTGCTTTGTTATCCATGCAAAAAGCCATTGGGAATCAGTGCTCCCTATGAGATTCCCTTATATTGTCTTATTTTCCCCATTGACCCTGTAAGACTTCTGGAGCCAATGTGAAACTTCACAAACTGGGTCGTAAGCTTTTAGGGGAGCCCATTGTAACTTTGAACAGTTGCTCAGTGAGGAATCACAAGTTCTATTATAGATTATTTGCTTATACTATAGAAAATATACTATAGAAAATATACTATAGAAAATACTGCCCTCAGTGGCTCCGTTAGGTATTTCAGTCACAATATGGACAGCAAGCAATGGAATATATTATATATAGGAATATAATATATCCTAAATTTGGGGACCCCAGGAGTCAGGACACTCACAATTGAAATAGGCATGGAATGCCTCTCCAGTTTCACACAACTGTCCACAACGAGGACGGAAGAGTATCTGTTAATGCAGTGTTTTTCAACTGCCGTCACTCTTGAGATGCTATCTGGCAAATGAAGGCTCCTTGGTGCTCTCTTGAGTTTGCTTATTTTCTTCCGGACATTTCATTATCCGAACTAGGTAACTTCATCAGTGCTAGTGGTGTTCATTTCATGAGCCTCAGCAGTTAGAGTGCAGTACTGCAAGCTAATCCTACTGCAATTTGGCAGATCGAATCCCACCAGGCTCAAGGTTGACTCAGCCTCCCGTCCTTCCGAGGTGGGTCAAATGAGGCTCCAGATTGTTGGGGAGGCAAGAGGCCGACTCTGTAAACCGCTTAGAGAGGGCTGTAAAAGCACCATAAAGCAGTATATAAGTCTAAGCGCTATTGCTATTTCAGCCCCAAGCTACAAATATCAGTTGGAAGTCCGTCTTAAAAGTTTGCTGAGGTTAATGAAATACGATAAGCCAAGCAAAATGAATTGGTGGAAATTCCCATTTCCGGCATGGTTTGTGTAACTGGCAAGCTGGCGATTCATTTTTCATGGAGCCAGTCCAGACTAGCTCCAGTTTGTAATTTTGTGTGTGTGTTTGTTTCAAACTGGAGTTTGGATGTATACACACACACATATATACACACGTAAATACACATGTTGTGGCTCCGAGTCCTGAGTCTGCATTCTTAGAGGAAGAGGATTCGGAAGATGAGGAGGAGGTGGAATTGGGAATGCCTTCCTCCCTGGGACCTTCCTCTTCGGCAATGCCTTCCTCCCTGATTATGCCTCAGGTTTCGGCAGATAACCGAGACGGACAGCATGAGGCTAATCAGGAGGAGGAGGGCATATCGGAGCAGCCTTTGACAGAGAATCAAGCAGACGAATGCTGGCTTGATGCTAGGCAACGTCGCAGGAAAAAGTGATTTTTTTTCTGTGGAGCTTCGGTGTATCCTGTTTCTGGAAAGCTCTAGTGATTTATGTTTTTGTTATCTTGTTGTACTTGGCAGGCAGCGTGTGTGATACTGCCAAGAACATAGCCAGCTCAAAGAAATTAACTCAGTAAATACTGAATCTTCTTGCCTGCTTGTATTTGGTTGAAGTTCGGACTTCTCATCTATCTTGTGAAGGTGAGACATAACACACATGCATACACACACACACAAACACTATCTATCTATTTGGATCACTGAAGAATCTTAGTCCGTCTTTGGTTCTTCCCCTCTTGATGTTTTTAAAGGAACAGATCACATCAACACCTTCATGAAACCAACCTTAAAAAGACATGTAACCAACCTTATAATTCTCCTAATATTTTTATTGCTGTGTCCAGGCTGTCCTCTGGTAGGACAAAAAGTCAAAATGAATCATTCAGTCTCTCCCAAATTTTGCCCCTCTGCCCATACAGCAGGGAAGAGACGATATACGTTTCATAGTTGTGTTTATTTCAAGGCAGAAACATATGAAGAAAAAAAACAGATGCACAATCAAGATTTCAATCAAGTTTGGCCAAAAATAGTTTTTTTTTTAAAGAAGAGACAAAGCAGTGTTCTGGAAATTCTGCTACCTACGTGGTCAGAATTCTACTGGAGGAATTGAGTAATTTCACCATGAGCTCCTTGCTTTTCCTGTTGATTGAAAGGCTATTTCTGTAGAAACAATTCCCATATCTATTTCTCCTCTAAGGCCATGTCCTTAGGTCACTGTGGCTCAGGAGCCTAAGGAGATTTTTTTACACAAAAATACATAAGCAAATAAAGCTGGAAAAGATTGTTCATGTGGACTACCCTAGACCTCCTGGACCAAAAACCCAATGCACTAGCTTATTCTCATGAGTAGCCCTCTTGCTGCCCTGTGAACAGGGGCTTTTAACAGCTCTCAGACCACGCTCCCAAACCCAAATCAACCACTGTTTTAGAATCACGGCCAGGCTTGCTGTAAGTGAGAATACCTGGCTCAGATCAATCAGGATTAGAACCCATTGTAGATAACGGTCAACGTGCTTTCCAATCTGCACAAGGTGCACAATTCAAAGCAACTTCTAAAACTAAGCTAAATCGTTGGGAACCAAGAACACAAAGAAATCTCAGAATATTATTCCGTGAAGCTACCGCAAGAAGGCAAAAGCCAGCAACAGACAAGTCGTTTCATGCCCGTTTATCAGACCTGATGTTTTGACCGAACCGGGTTCTCAAAGAACAAACACAAAGGCAGCAGCCACCATCTTTTAAGGTTTCGTAACAAATTCTGTTCTGAAGGCTGCTTCCCACTATTTAGCTCCGACAAGAAAGAGCCTTGCCAAGTTGTTTGTCAAGGCAGACAAAAACCCAGAGATAAGGACTAATTTTCAAGATTCTCCAAGAACACTTTTCCAACCTGGCTTTTATCCTCTTGAGGGAGGGGTTGACCTTGCAGCCTTACTCCTGAGTCGCCTGTGCTGCTGTAATTCTTTCCTCCGAGCAATCCTTCGTGCACGTGCACTTAGCACAGGCTCCTCGGGAACCTCATCATCATTGCTGCCAGCCCCCACAATGTCTGAAGGCAGCAGTCCACTCCCTGATGGTCCTGGCCCTTCATCAAAGTTCTCATTCTCCTCAGCCATCTGCACCTGCTGACAGCTAACCACAACACCTGACTATGCAAGACTTGTCCACCACCAGTGGCAGTGAAGTCTTCTACAGTTAAGGAGGATTAGGAGCCACAAGTTCCCATTCACCTTCAGCCATGGATGGCAGCCATACCAAGTTAACCAGATGGAGGAATCAACTTACAGGAAGACTATATGAGTGGGTTCAACAACAGAATCTTACATGTCTGTCCTGTGCCTCCTTCATACACCCCTGGAAATTAAAGAGATATTTACCTGAGCTGCAACCTTATGCTTTCTCCTTGTTTTGGGCTTAAATCATGTTCTTCTCTTTGCCCTTTTGGTATAACGGATGATTTTGGGTGGTCATTCTGTCTCAGCTCAACCTACCACATAGAGTTATTTTTTTTTCAGAAGGGGTGCTGCCTATAAGATTTGAGCCCCTAAAAGAAAGGAAGATCTAAATCTCATAAATAAAAGAGCCAACGTGGTGCAGTGGTTAAAGCAGAGTCCCTCAAGCTTTAAGATGCATGGGCCAACTTCCAGAATTCCACAGCCAGTAATGGAGTCCATGCATGAAAGTGGTCAAGTTTGAGAAACACTATTGTGTTTCCCCATAAGTAAGACTCTAACTGGAAAATAAGACCCGGCATTTTTCAGGATGCTCGTATATAAGCCCTATCCCCCCCCAAAATAAGCCCTAGTCAAAACCATCAGCCGGATGGATGCATTTCATACATTTCCCCCAAAATAAGACCTAATTGGAAAATAAGCCCCAATTTGTCTTTTGGAGCAAAAATTTAATATATCTTACTTTGTGGAAACATGGGCGGGGGGGAATGACTCTGAGCTATTCCTTGTCTCTCAGCCCAATTGACCTCACAGGATTCTTATTGGAAGGGAAAAACAGATGGAAGAACACAATGCATGCTGCCTTAAGCACCTGAAGGAAAGGAAGAATATTAGTCCTAACGAAGCTAAACATAATAAATAGTAAACAATGTCTCCAAAAGTACACAACGTCAAATGCCTTAAGTTCCAGACATTGGGAACTCCAGCCACATCATCAAAGAATTAAAGGAGATTGTCTCTATGTATCTGGACGGCATCAGTGAAGATTATTTGGTTATGACATTTTTTTTTTAATCAAGTGTCCAAGAGACGAGTGGACATCATCATCACGCACACCCTTAATGCCAGGGAGAAAACGATGCAAATCATTAATGACTTATTGTTGATGCCACTGGCACAATGGCATCATTCGTCACGCTTTGCAAGTGGGATTTAAAAGGGGGGGGGGAGGAAATGCCCGCAAAACGGCTAGAAAAACAGCCTTTTACATCAGGCATGGAGAACTTGATATCTCAGGGAGTCCCAAAATGTGGACTTCCTATAAAAGTTGCTACTGAGACTACATCAAATCACAGAGACTGTCTTTTAATTTTAATGGCATTTAAATTAAATCACAGGTAATACAGGTAGTATTTAACTTAGAGCCATGCATTGTCGTAACTGTTCAAAAAAAAAAGTGACTTATGTTTTTTCACATAACCGTTGCAGCTTCCACACAGTCCTTATGATCAACAAAACGGTAGCAACAACCAAGTAAAGGACAGGAGTTCTCATCAAATTTGGGCTTAAAGAGCCCCTATTTGGCAGCAGGAATAAAACATTGCGAAGCGAGAAAATTATTTTTATCTGCAGAACTAGTGAAAATAACTTGATCGTTTAAAAAAATTGTTTCATTCGAGTGGGTCAATGGTTCTGCTAGAAAACTCACATTTTTTTTAAAAAAAGTGGAAAAATCATTTTATTGGGATTGGCAGGATTTTATCCATGTTATAAGTGACAAAAACTAACACCCATTGCGATGCAGGGGAAAATCTATAAACAGCCTGATAAAAGATTGTTGGATGCAGTAGTCGTCGTGTGTAATGTAACAAAAGATAATAATTAAAAAGCTAAAAAATAGCCTTTGTGTATAAATAACAATAATCCCATGGACAGCTCCATTGGCAGTAGAATGGCTTTTAGCTACTGCGGCTGACGTCCTTAGCTGACCATTTCACATAAGTAGCTGGGCACACTATATAGCAATAGATTTTTAAAAATATATATATCCTTTTAAAAACAGCAGCTTATGATTTGAGTGTAGCACAAGAATGTTCAAAATTTATCCCAAAAACAGAGAAGAAAAACATGCACTTAAGGAATTGCTAAAAGTAGAAATATCTCAACTATTAGGGTGTCTTCCCCCATTCCCCCAATTATTTGATTTAGCTTTCCATTACAGTGGTACCTCGGGTAGTCGACTGCTTTGAAAGTCATTGAATTTGTTACTCGACACATTTTGATGCAAACGTTTTGTCCCGCTACTCATCGTTTGTTTAGTATTCAATGCACAAGCTAGAGCTTGTCGAAGTCGACTGTCTTGTGATTCATTACATTATTCTTTATGGGAAAAATGTGTTTGGTACTTATTGTTTTGGGTACTCATCGCACCTGTTTCAATTAACAATGAGTATTGAGGCATTATGTCTATAGAGATTCTCAGTCATCCAGGTCATGGTTGTTCCAAAGGTGCTTTTTATTTTTTAAGGAGGCAACTAGACTTTCTGGTTTTTCTTTGAAGACATTTCACTTCTCATCCAAGAAGCTTCTTCAGCCCTGACTGGATGATGGGGAGTGGAAGGATTTACCTGTCTGTGAGGAATATAAATCCTTCCATTCCCCACCATCCAGTCAGGGCTGAAGAAGCTTGGATGAGAAGCGAAACATCTTCAAAAAAAACCCCAAGAAGTCCAGTTGCCTCCTTCAAAAAAAAAAAAAAAAAAAAAAAACACCTTTGGGACTACCCCTGTATTACTTCTTATTTATTTATTACATTTATATACCACCCGTCTCACTGTCAAGCAGCTTCATGGTACATGAAGAATTTTGAAGACGAGAAAACCTCTACACGCTTTTGTTCATAAGGGTGTGTGAATATTTTTCACCCCCAAAAGCAAAATCTGACTTTTTTAGCAATATTTGCTCATGAGCTTGCTTGCCAAACCCAATTGTCCCTGAACTTGCTGTCCAGGAATTTGATTCCCAAATTCTGGATGCTTCAACTTTATTTGGAAGGTAACCTGGAGAAGACAAATTGAGAAAAAAAAAGTACAGTCTATGTTCTCACAAATTGGCACTATCCATATGAGTAGGCCAAAAAGCAGAACCCTCAGTCTGAATTGGTTTCGCTCTCTCTAGCACGTAACTGGCTACATAAAGCCTTATTGTGAACCTGTTCGATATATATATCTCTTTTCTTGAGGTACGTCAAGGAAGGAAGTTAGTACACCTTTCGTTACAAAATGCTACCGACCCTTGAAAAATACAAGAAAAATTGTGCCAGTGGGGTGATATTGGAGACAAGCATGATGAAATTTGAGGAAATGTATCTCTTCTTCCCCCCCAAAGTTATATTTTCAAACACAGAAGCCGGATTATTTAGCACCGCTCAGATATACAACGGATAGATTAAAAAAAAAAGAGTGGGAAGAAAGAAACCAGTGGAAGATCGTCACCAAAAACGCAGGTTATGATCTCAAAACTGACCAAACTTTCTCACTCTAAAAGGCAACTATCGGTTTCTTTACACAGAATCACATTATTTCCAGAAGCCATGAATTTCCCACCTGGCATCATCTACAGCGGGGTGTAGGTGTCCCCCAACTTGGCAACTTTAAGAGGTGTGATCTTCAACTTCCAGAAATCCCCAGCCAGCATGGGAGCTGAAGTCCACAAGTCTTAATGGCCAAATTTGGAGTCCCCTGATCTACAGTTACATTGATGGAGATATAGGTGGCCCTGGAGTTACGAGCATCCATTCAGCAAGTGTACAAAGTTATGGTGGCACTGAACAAAGGGGACTTAGGACAGATCCTCAAAGTTCTGGCCATGGGTCACTTGATCAAAATTAGGGTGCTTGGCAACCAGCTCACCTTAGAACCGGTTGCGGCATCTTGAAGTCACATGATCCCTGTTGCTGTCCGTCTCTGCCAGCGGCCACTAGCAAAGTCATTGGAGAAGCCAGAGGGAAGTAAAACATTGATCGGGTAAGTTTTCCAACCAGCCTGCCTTTGCTGACACTGTGCCTTCCTTCCCCCTTTGCTTGCTCACACCTACCAGTATCCTCCTTCCCTGAGCTTTCTTGCACTTGCACACACGTTTCCCACGCCCGCTTTTCCCAGACTCCCTGAGTTCACGCCACACTGTAGCCTCCCAACTCACAAGCAACGTTCCCCTGTTCCTCGCCTGGGATTCCCTCCAGTTCACACTCGATGACCCGCATGTTTTGGGATTATGATGTGACGGCAATCCAGGACTGCCAGTAACAGGACATTACACTCTGCAACTGCACTGTGCCAGCAATCTCGGTCCCAAATGTTGTCGTAACCCAAGGACTACCTGTGGATCAATCCACTCCTCTCCTAGGAAGGAAGGAAGGAAGGAAGGGAGGAAGGGAGGGAGGGAGGAAAGGAAAGGAAAGGGAAGGGAAGGAAAGGAAAGGAAAGGAAAGGAAAGGAAAGGAAAGGAAAGGAAAGAAGGAAAGGAAAGGAAAGGAAAGGAAAGGAAAGGAAAGGAAAGAAGGAAGGAAAGGAAAAGATCTAGGAGGAAGGAATCTGCCAGAAGAGAGGCAGAAATTAATTTAACTAAAGAAACTTGGTAGATCAGGCGGCCAGGGAGAGGAAGTGAAGTCAGATTCCCCTGAATAAGAAGGAAAAGCTGGCTTCAGAAAATATAACCACCATAGTTAGCAGCATTTTTTTCTTAATAAAGCAGCTTATAAATCAGAAAAGTATCACGTTGGGCCACCTCTCTATGCTAACTTTCCCCTCCCTTGAGATGGGGCCAGGCAGGCCATGAGGGGAGATTTTAGAGGTTATGTTTAGTGCCCAATGCTGTTCATTCCTGAATGATGCAAAGATGGATCCACGGACGAAACCATCTTTTGAAGTAGTTCAATCAACAATACCCCCCTTGCTCTAAATCCCACCAGCTGCCGAAGAAGCTTCACAGTTTCCCAGACGTTGACGCAAAACATTCAAGGATCGCTTGGAAGCACGGGGAAAAATCCCACAGTGTCATCTCTTGGGTAAGGCCCACCCAGAGAAGGGACACGCAAACAGCCGAAGATCAAAAATGTCAAAAAAAAGGACAGATGGGAGAGAAAAAGGAATAAACGGGGGGGGGGGGGGGGGGGGGGGGGGGGGGAGAAATGGAGAAGGAACACATGGAGAAGTAGAAGCAACAGATGGGAGAAAGAGAAGGAAGAAACGGAGAAGAGAAATGAGAAGGAAAAAGTGGAGAGAGGGAAGGAGAAGGGGGGAAAAAAGGGAGAAGCAGAAGGAGGAAGCAATGGAAAAGGAGGAGAGAATTATGCTTAAGGAGCAAAGAGATTCACATTGTTTGATTCAGCAGGATAGTGGTTTCACTATGATGCTTTTTCTCCTGATCTATAAAGAACAGAAAGGTAAAAAAAAAAAATTGGGTTGCAGGGGTGAACAAAATAAGAACCTTGATATTTTTTTTCTTTTAAGCTACAAGGGGCTCTGCCTGTGTCTTCCAGGCAGTAATATGCTACTTAAGTCATCCCAAAGAAACATTCAGTTCGTTACTGCCAGAAGTGGTACATTCAGCCGGTTCTGACCGGTTCTAGAGAACCGGTAGCGGAAATTTTGAGGAGTTCGGAGAACCGGCAAATCCCACCTCTGACTGGCTCTGCCAATCCCATCTCTTCTCCGCCTCCCGAGTCCCGGCTGATTGGCTGGGTCTTCTTTGGTTGCCCTGCACAGGAGAACGGAGCTGAAAAGCAGGTTAGTGGGGTAGGGAGGGAAGGGGGATTTTACAGTCTCCTTCTCCTGCCACGCCCACCAAGCCACGCTCACCGACCCGGTAGTAAAAAAAAAAAATCAAATCCCACCACTGGTTGCTGCCGATTACCATATCCCAATTTCCTTTTCGCAGCTGCCTTGACATTTCCCCCAAAACCACAGTTCCCATCTTCCAACCCCTCCGCTAGAGGAGATGAGGATGGCAGCTCCAAATCTCTTGATTAAATATGTCTCCCACCCCCCACCCCACCCCCAAAACAGAGTCAACAGAGGCCCCACTGTGTGCTACATCCTCGGGGGAAGGGGCTGACAAAGCCCGTCAGAACAACCCGCCGAAAGCCAGTGCTGAGAACTTAGTCCAAGGAAGGCAAAGGGAAAGAGCAGAGATAACCGCGTCTCGCCACCCCAAGGAGACCACCGGTCCAAACATCAGCCCTCTTGTTAGGTTTAGGAGCCCCCCCTGGAAGGGGTTGAGCTGCCCGTTTCCATGATTTCCTCCCTTGCTGATGGAATCCGATGGCCGTCCAGAAAGCCAGGAGGACGGGACGAATCCCGAGAGGAGGCCTGCAGGTCAGTAGAAATGTTTCCGGCTCCGTTCTTGCCATTTGTTGTAAACAATGACGCCAACGACGATGGCGAAGACGATGGCCACCAGCGAAAAGAAGACGATCAAGAAGAGAGCGAGGCCGCTCATGGGTTCCATCGGCGTCACCACTAAAAAGGACAAGCGCAACGGTCAGGCTCAGCTATCAGGACAAGTTCTAGTTCAAGGGACCATGGAGGTTCTCCAGTCATCTCCCAAAGGTGCTTTTTCAGGAAACAACTGGACTTTCTTGGTGGCGCAGTGGCGAGAGTGCAGTATTGCAGGGCTACTTCTGCTGACTGCCGGCTGACTGCAATTTGGCAGATCAAATTGCACCAGGCTCAAGGTTGACTCGTCCTTCCGTCCTTCCGAGGTGGGTCAAATGAGGGCCCAGATTGTTGGGGGGTGGGGGGCAATAGGCTGACTCTAAACTGCTTAGAGGGGGCTGGAAAGCACTATAAAGCGGTATATAAGGGCTATTGCTATTTCCTTCCTTCCTTCCTCCCTCCCTCCCTCCCTCCCTCCATCCCTCCTGCAGTGGTTAGAATGCAGTATTGCAGGCAAATCCACTGCCCACTGCCTGGAGTTCAATCCTGACCGGCTCAAGGTTGACTCAGCCTTCCATCCTTCCAAGGTGGGTAAAATGAGGATCGAGATTGTTGGGGTCAAGAGGCTGACTCTGTAAACCACTTAGAGAGGGCTGTATGGGGCGATATATAAATCTAAGTCCTTTTCTCTATAACCATGGAATCTAAGGTTTTCTTTCTTGGATTTTGAAGGGAGCTCACCTGACACTCGGGGAGGGCAAAAAACAGGCCTCCCAGAAGTTTGGGAAGGCTGGAAATGGGCCCGTTTCTGGCTTCCAGGGAGCCTCCAGAGCCCAAGGAGACCGTTTTCGCTTCCCGGAGGCTCAAAAAACGCCTGTGGAGCCCAGGGAGGGTGAAAAAACACACACACACCTGTCATGGTGCAGGAGGCTGACTAGGCCACGCCCACCCAGGCCACGCCCACCCAGCAACTGGGCAGAAGAACCCCTTGCTGAAATCTTCAAAGCCCACCCCAGCCCACGACTGCCAATTATTCAGTCCAATCTTTCTTTGAAACCTGCCAAGCTCAGAATGGCAGTTCTATATCTCGTGGTCAAATCCATTCTGAAAGAACTGAATGAATGCATTGTATCATTAAAAGACAAACAAAAAACAAAAAACCCAGGCTTCCCTGCGTCCGCCCCGACTGGGTGAAATGAACCACCCTACTTACTCCCAGGGAGTTTCATGTTGTCCACCACAGGGAGGAAGACTTCTTTGTCGCGCTTCTCTTCTTCCATCGACCGATCGACCGTCAGCTGGTAGGTCTTCAGAGAAATGATGTCGTGATTGTCTGAGTTCAAAGAGGAAGAGGGGATATAAATAGGAGCCATTCATGGAGAAACCTCTTTTTCAGTTAAGCTGGCTTTGGATATTGAAAAAGTTTAGGACAGGGGTGGCTAAGCTTTTTGGGTTCCTGGGCCAAAAATTGTGGGCGCGCTTGCACGCTCGCACTCGTATGCCAGCACCCAGGTGGCAATGTGTGCCCCCCCCCTACACCCCGTATGCATGCGCACGTAATCCCCACCCACCCACCACCGCCTCCTTTCCTGCATTGCACCTCAGAGGTGATTTTTGGGCAGTTTGAGGCCTTTTTCGGCCTCCCAAAGGCTTGAGGAAGGCTTCTGCGGGCTTTGCAGGCCGAAAACTAGGCCCGTTTCATCACTTCCAGTATTTTCAGAAAAACAGGAAGTGGATGAAACAGGGCTAGTTTTCGGCCTGCAAAGCCTGAAGAAGCCTTCCTCGTGCCTTTGGGAGGCCGAAAAAGGCCTCAAACTGGCCAAAAATCAGCTCTGAGGTGCGCGCATGCTCAGTAAGGTAAGTTTGCCTGAAGCTCACATGCCGGCACAAATGGCTCTGTGTGCCTCCTGTAGCACGCATGCCATAGGTTCGCCATCACAGGTTTAGGCTGTCGTCATGGCCCACTAGCAGCCAGCAGAGCTGGTGGCACGCTGTTCTGACCCAAGCCTCATTCAAATCAAATAAACACAAAGTATATATAAAAATAAACCTTTTTAATGCGCCTTGTGAATTCTATTCATTCACAGCAAAGAGTCATTAAAACTAATTGTCCCAGATAAGAGCAAGTCCTTTCAAGGTTATGAGAGGCTGCCAAGAATACAAGATTAACTGCAGAGAAATATTCCAAAGCCAAAAGTCTCCGAAAACAAACCAGAACAGACAGGACTTCCACAAAAACTTTGAGTTGAAAGAACTTCTTTGCTTCCTGCAAAGAAGCCAACCCCAAAGGCTGGCTTTTATCCCTTATGGGAGGAGCCATCACCTTGCAGCCTTTCTCCTGAGTCGCCCGTGCAGGTTCAGCTGCTTTTTCCTTCGAGCAGCCCTGCGCGTACGTGCACTGAGCACGGGCACCCCAGGGTCCCCTTCGTCACTGCTGCCAGACTCCACAACCTCCGAAGGCAGCACCCCACTCTCTGATAGTTCTGGCCCCATCCCTGCATCACACGCAGGCCCCTCATCTGAGTCCTCACTCTCAGAGACCTCAGCCATCCGCACCTGCTTCCTATGAACCACAACACAGACTTGGACAGTGAGGAGGTTGGGGAGGAACATGGGCCACTCCTGGAGTCTGAGGAAGGCTCTGACGAGGGCTCTGTGTTGGAGGCAGAGATGGGGCCAGGGCCGTCCGACACTATCAACCACCTTTGGAGTCAAAGATCAGTGGGGAAGAAGAATAGCTGGAGCCTGTTCCCAATGTGCACGTTATGCTATGCTGGCTATTCTGTTGTTTGGTTCTATTCTATTTCTATTCTATTCTGTTGTTCTGTTATTTTATTCCATTCTATTTTCTATTATTTTTTACTATTTCCTATTATTCTCTATTCTCTTCTATTCTATTATCTGGAGGACATTCTATCGAGGAAGCAGCCTATAGGTTCGCTTCTCTTATTCCAAGTTTTTAAACTCCGCAGATCTTCTTCCAAAGTAAAACCAGTAAGGAAAAAATTCTTCCAGCTATGCTGGGCTTGTGAGCAATACCTGACAAGTCTCCCGTGGCGGAAGAGATTCCGAAGAAGTATCCACGTGGTAAGTGGACTCCGGGAATGTCAACGCAGTCTCTCCATTCGTGCTTCCCGTCAATGTCGAGCAAGACCTCAAGTCAAAATGAGAAAAGGCTCATTCTAGCTTCATCCTTTCCAAAGCTTACCTGGAGAACACTTGGGGAGGATGTGATGATTGGCGATTAGACTTGACACTCGGAGCACGATAACCCAGGGCGTTTCTTTCCAGATTAAATTTCAGAGAGGGGAGGATAACGAAGAGAGAAGAATTTGTGGGGGTGGGAAAGATGGGTCTGAGAAAAGCTTAAAATCCTAGGCCAAGATAAAGGTAAAGGTTCCCCTCGCACATCCGTGCCAGTCGTTTCTGGCTCTAGGGGGCGCTGCTCATCTCCGTTACAAAGCCAAAGGGCCAGCACTGTCCGAAGACATCTCCATGGTCATGTGGCCAGCATGACTAAACGCCTTCGAAGGCGCATGGAATGCTGTTCCCTTCCCACCAAAGTGGCCCCTATTTTCCTACTTGCATTTTTACACGTGCAAAACATAGTCACCAAACCGGTAGTAACACTAGTTGAATCCCACTGATGGATGGATGGATGGATGGATGGATGGATAGAAATATTTACAGAGTCAGCCTATTGCCCCCAACAATCAGGCTCTTCATTTTCTGACCTCAAAAAGGATGGAAGGCTGAGTCAACCTTGAGCTGGTCAGGATCAAACTCCCGGCAAGTGGGCAGAGTCGGCTTGCAATACTGTATTCTCATCACTGCGCCACCACGGCTCTGACCGTTGCGGACCTGTAGACACTTACGGTAAGCCTCCTCTTCACATAGCGGATCACCAGGAACGTGTCATGCTCCAGGTTGCGAACGATGGCCGTACAACCCCCAAGTTCGGTCGGCCGCCCGTCCCTCTCATGGTCATAGACAAGGGACCCATTGGTGACCATGGCCGAGACGTACGGGAAGACGCGCTGGAGAAGGAACAGAAGGAAGAGACCGACTTGCCATTCGAACAGCTACTTTCACACCAGTTCACATTCAACAAGAGTGGAAAGGAGGCATGCAGAGGAGGGATGCAACGGAGTTCGAGCCGGAGAGGTGTGTTGAGAAGCAAGGCAGCTGAAGACAACTGAGGCACTGGTGGGATTCAAATTGTTTTTACCACCGGTTTGGCAGGCGTGGCTTGGTGGGCGTGCTTTGCCTAACACCGGCGCGCCGGTTTCCCCACACCAGCTGAGACCTGCAGAGCCAATCAGCTAAGAGGATAAAGAAGAGAAAAGCGCAAGGGCACGCGGGAGGGCCAATCCTGCACTTTTCTCTTCCTTTTCCTCTTAGCTGATCGTCGGCCTTTTTTTTTTGCTACCGGTTCAGATGAACCGGTCCAAACCGGTAGCATACCACCACTGAACTGAGGACCAAACAATTTGGCCAGATGGTGACAGCCTTATAAATGCATTTGGCAGAAAGACCGTGATGGCACAGACAGCCAGGGGTATGGGCAGGAGGAAAGCAAGAACAGACAGCAAGAAAGCAACAGGTCCCCCAAGGCCTAGGGCACAGCCCGGTACTGGGCTGAGGCCTATTCAGAACCGGGCCACACAAGCAGCAGGCAAGCATGCGCTCACAGCTCCATTTGCTCCAAGAGCAGCAGGCACTCACACCGGAACTATTTCCTCTCCCAGCCACCCTCCATTGGTCCGTAGAGCTGGAAAGATCAGGAACCACTGGCGTAAGGAATGCCACTGTGGAAGACTCAAGTCTCTTCTCCACTGCCTTGTAATGTTATCTCAAAATTAGCCAAGTGGCAACAAGGCGTACAAGTTATTACATGTTGCATGGAGTTATGTGTTGAACTAAGGCGCACATGTTTCCATCAAGAATGAAACTTTGGCAGCTACGTGCCTCTTGGCCTCAACTTGCCATTAGAGTAAGAGTGGCAAGGTGTTGCTTTGGAACGGGTCAGACAAAGAAACGAAACCTCCACGATTTTGCTGAAGACTGGGAGAGCCTGAAATCTTTTCAAGGACATCGTAGAAGGTGTGGAGTTAAAGCAGACGGTTCCCGTAACAAAGCGAGCTTGTTTCCATGGACTATGTGAGAAACTGGCTGGGGAAAGTATTGTTTAATTCTATGAATTCTGGCATCTGGGAACCTCAGAGTTAGTTTGGCTTTGACATTACCATTCCATGTGTTCAATAAACGGTAAGATTTTTGGAAGCGGAATGAAGCTGAGTTTTATCTGGATTCTCGAGCTGCATGTTCATACTCGGTGTTAGACCTCATTCAAGTTCTCCCACCAGGTTCTCAAAGTGGAAAATGCATTCTCTCCTCTGAGTCCCTACTACCCTGTGGACACACTATATGTCATGCCTCTGTTGGAATCTGATTCTGAGGGGGAGATTGAGCAGCTGACAAGGAGGGGGAGTGTGGCTCTGGTGGCTGTGGAGGAAACTGGGGAAGGGCACAGTCTGGCTGGGCATTCAGAGGAAGACCCAGCCCCCCCCCCTTCTTTATCCTAGGGCACACAGGGAGGAACGGATAAGGGAGCAACGTGGATTACGGGGGAGAAAAAGGCCCTGATTCCCTTCATTAGCTGCAGCTGGGAAAACAGGATAAAGAGGGTGTGTGCGCACAGCACCTTGCTGGAAGCAAGGCATGCATTATTTTTGTTTGTCAAGTCTTATCTGGGTTCTGGCGTCCTCCCAACTGTGTGTGTTTTGTTATCTTTTGGAAGCCTGCAATTCCTTATCCTGCCCTGTCTCGTTAATTGCTGAAGCAAGTGGTTTGTGTTGGTTTTTATTTATAAATGAGATGTACTGTGGATTTCGACTGAATTTCTTCTCTTTAAAAACTGTTCTTGGGAGAGTTTTTTTCTCCAGCCAATGATAACTGGACACTGGGGGCCAAGTTGGAGGAATTAAAGGGACTGTACCTACTTTTGTGACCTTGTTGCTTTTGTGCCACGCCCCAGGTCATCATACTATAGCTACTAGTAGTAGCTACTACTTCCCAGGCTCCTGCAGCTTTGAGCAACTTCAGCATTGCTGACCCTCGGAAGGAAGCAGTACAGAGGCCCTCAAAATAAGGCACCCACCAGATGTGTGAAGGTAAACTCCCACAATCCTCAGCACAGGCCATGCTGGCTAAAGAATTCTGGGCATTGAAGTTCTCACAACCAAAGAGACATAAGGAAGAGGCCTGCAATATCCCTTTTCTTTAACCAAGCCAGCTACACCCTAGGTCAACATTTTCCCATCTTGGCAACTTGGAGATCTGGATCTCAGCTGCCAGGGGGATCCTGGGAGTTGAAGTCCACTCATCTCAAAGTTGCCAAGCTTAAGAAAAACTGCCTTAGACAAGTACTCTCTGATTTTACTGGTTCCAGCCACGTGAGGAATCTGAAATGAAGGAACTGGAACTAGACACAACTCCAAGAAGCAAGGGAAAAAAAACGTTAAGAAAATAGCAATAGACTTATATACCGCTTCACAGTGCTTTACAGCCGCACTCTAAGCAGTTTACAAAGTCAGCCTCTTGTCCCCCAACAATCTGGATCCTCATTTTACCTACTTCGGAAGGATGGAAGGCTGAGTCAACCTTGAGCCGGTGAGAATCAAACTGCCAAACTTCTGGCAGCCAGCAGTCAGCAGAAGTAGCCTGCAATACTGCATTCTAACCACTGCACCACCACGGCTCAGGTGCCGTTGACAACAGCAATAGCACTTAGACCTATATACCACTTCACAGTGCTTCGCAGCCTCCTCTAAGTGGTTTACAGAGTCAGCCTCTTCCCCCCCCCCCCCAACAATTTTGGCTCCTCATTTTACCGACCTCGGAAGGCGAACCTTGAGCCGGTCAGGATCAAACTCCTGGCTGTGGGCAGAATCAGCCTGCAATACTGCATTCTAACCACTGCGCTACCACGGCTCTTATAATCATACCTATAGAGGAAAAGACTCAGGTGCCAACAATCACTGCGCCAAGCCGTGCCATTCCATTCCCTGCCAGAAGTGATAGCTGAATCAAAGAGCAAGAAGAGAGAGAGAGAGAGAGAGGAGAGAAGGAGAGAGAGAGAGAGAGAGAGAGATGGAACAGACAAGGTAAGAGTAAAGGATCTAGGAAAGGACCATGTCAAGTACCTGGTTTCCTGATGAATACCTCTTCTTCTGGGCCTGGGAATCCAGAATGGTTATTGCAAAGCCGTAGGGTAGGGTAGGGGACAGAAGCAAGAGAGGAATCACCCAACAGATTGTCTCAAGCTGACCTAGTCTCCCTTCATCCAATCCCCGGGCTGCTTTCTTTTTCTTCTTCTCCAAGGCCCTCCGTTTAGGTTTAGGGGAAAGGCTGGAAGGTGTCCCTGGGCTAGAAAGCTAAGGGATCCTGGAAGTGGAGGGGCTGGAGGAGAGATTTCTGCTTTACAAAGGCAACTGGTACTGTCAGGGTTCCGGCGATTGCCCCAATTAAATCATGAACCTCGAGCCAAGCTTCAAAAGAATCCAAAAGATTTATTAGGAGCAACATGTCGGCATTACCCTAAATGAAGCCAACTCTGGCATATGTAATTTACAATCACCTGTGACCCTGTTACCCCCCCCCCCCCGGTGTGTCATAAATCAGATTCTCCAATGAAGCATGGTTCACAGGCTGGGTGTCATCCATCACATTCTCCAATGAAGGATTTTCCCAGGCAGAAGATCCGGTAGCCTAGCTACAATCTTTGTAAGATAAGCATGGAATGTACTTCTGGTTTCAAACTGCCGTACTGCTCCTTTGGATTTCTCTCCCCTCCCCTTGTTTATGGCAACTCGAAAACAGGCATAGGCATGTTTTACGAGTTGACATGTACAGGAATGCAGACTCAAGCAAGCAGTCTGCCCACCCAGTAGGGCAGGGGTCCCCAAACTTGACAACTTTTAAGACTTGTGGATTTCAACTCCCAGAATTCTGGAAGTTGATGTCATGCCCCTGGTGGAGACTGACTCTGAGGAAGAGGAGGGACAGCCAACAGGGAGTGGGAGTGTGGCTCCAGAGGTGGTGGAGGAGGCTGGGGAAGGGGGCAGAGGCCGGCTGAGCAATCAGAGGAGGATCCAGGCCCATCCCCTCTCCATCCTAGGTCACGCAGGGAGGAGAGGATCAGGGAAAAGCGAGGTCTACTCAGGAGGAGATTACCATGATCCTCCTCGTGGCTTGCAGCTGGCTATGTACATAAGTTTGTAACTGCGTAGTCAGAATTGCTGGAGTCAAAGTTCAGTGTTTACTTTGAAAGAGGTTTATCTTTGCTGGCGTTCTTCCCATGGACTCTCCTCGGTTATCTTCCTGGAATGTATGATTAATTATCTTGGCTTGCTTCAGGAACTCTTGTCAATGTGGTTTGTTTTGGTTTTCTTTTTGCCTCATTTGTTAACTTTTGTGACTTCAAACTGTGCCTAATAAAACAGGTTAAGTTGAAGGCATTACCAGAGTTTAATGTATGTTTTGGGTTTTTGGGTTATTTTGAGAGACTACGGGTCATCACAGTTGAAGTCCTTAAGTCTTAAAGTTGCCAAGTTTGGAGACTTCTGCACAGTGGTGGGATTCAACCGGTGTTACTACACGCTTTGCGCGCGTGTACAAAAAACTTTTGCTGCACCGCCCGGACAGCTGAAAAGCGCAGGTGCGCAGCGTTTAGAAAGCCACTTTTGTCCTGCTTTTTCAACCTCAGCTGAGGTTGAAAAAGCAGGAAATGACAGGTAAGAGCCCGGGCGGGCCAAACAGCAGCAAACACAGAACCGGTTCGTTGTCTGCTGCTCTTCAGAGCTACTGGTTCTATAGAGCTAGGCAGAACGGGTAGCATCCCACCCCTGCCTCTGCAGTTGGAGGTTCAGGCAGACTGGGTCCCCTCCAGGTCCCCTCCATTAAATGTCCTCTTATGGGACCGAGGAAGTGTGCCTTCTCTGGCACAGCTGTTAGGAATATAAGTCACCTAACAGGTATTTGGGTTAGAAATATATAAACCAGGATAAACATTTTAAAACTGTATCTTTAAGAAAATGCAAAACTGTAATTAGGTGTGGTTTCTCAAACGGCCATAAGATGGAGCCAGAAACCTGGGTTGTTTCAGTCTGAGTCTCAGAAGAGAGTGTGAGTGGATCTCTGTTTCCTTCTGTTGGAAAGTATTGCCGTTCCTCCATTTTTCCTAATTGACTGATATTCCTGGATTTAATGTAAGTCTGATACTGAACTGTTTTTTTGACATTGGACTTTGATATTTGGATTATCCCTGGATTGAAAAACTGACTGATTTACCTGTGAATGACTTTTGGACTGCTTATCTTGAACTTTGCTTAAACTGTCTGGAAGTAAAAACCTACATTTACTGTACAGTGTATCTGTGTGCTGTATGTGTATTATTCAAACGCTACTCTCAAATACGTCTCCCTGTATGCGCTCATTCTCCTAACAGGGAATTACCTCAACAACAGCCCCCTTTCCCGCCCTCGGAAAGGGCATCTCCCTGCCCCCCTAGAGATCTAGCTGGCAAACTCTCAAAATCCAACCAGTGTAGTAGGCTCAAATGATCTACCTGGCATCTTACCAACCTGCCTAATTGCTAACATCCTGCACAGGAGGCTCCTGGGAAGAGGACTCCAAACAATTTATAATTATCACGCCACAGAAGCTCAAGTGACTCCACTAAACCAGAACCAAGAAGAAAAACACGCTAACCATATCAAAACACAAGCCAAGCCAAGTTTTTTTTCCATAAAGTCTCCAGGCAAGAAAAGCAAAAAGCATCTCAAATCCCTCAGATCGATTCATCCATATTACAGGTGGTCCTCAGCCTACGGCCGCCATTGAGCGGCCCAGAATTGTGGTTGCCGAGCAAGAACCTTGTGGAGTTGAGCTTTGCCCCTGCTTGAATGAACTTTTCTTGCCCTGGTTGTTAAGTGAATCTGGCTTCCCCTTTGACATTGCTGGTTGCCAAAGGTTGACCTGACGTGACCTCAGGACACTGCAGCCGTCATAAATCTGAATTGAGCGTCCCAATTTTGATCAGGTGAACATGGAGGAGGCTGCAACCGTCGTTAAGTGCGAAAAATGGTCGCCAGTTACTTTTTTTTTCTTCAGTGCCATTGCAATTTTGAACGGTCACTAAACAAACTTTCGTAAGTCGAGGAATTCCTGTACTGTCGCTGGCCTTTTCAAACACAGCGGCCTCATTGCCCAAAGGAAGTCCAGCAAAAAATAATAGCCAGATCCCTGGGACAGTGTCCCAAACACCAAAGCCATTAGAGGGAAGGAGGAAATTTTGACCCTTAACCTCCAAGAACCCCCCCTGCCAATGGGCAGATTATTCCTGTCTCACCCTCTCCAAGAGGACTCTGGGGTGACCAGTGGGGCACTGGAGGTCACATAGGCTGCAGTTCTCTCTTTTCTTCCTAAAACTATGCATAAAAGCACAAGAGCCATGCCTGTCTGATGCTGTTCTGACCCAACCTGGTTCCAAGAGAGCCACCACCAGACAAAGGCAGCAGCCCCCCCCCCTTTTAAGGTTTCATCTACGAATTCTGTTTCTTCACAGATAAAAGGCTGCTTCCAACTAATTAGCTCCGACAAAAAAAGAGCGTGGCCAAGTTGTTTGCCAAGGCTGCCAAAAACCCAGAGATAAGAACTCATTACAAGAGTCTCCAAACACGAACGAAGATGTCCACCAGTTGAGCTTCAGAGCTTCTATGCTGTCTGCAAAGAACGCTTTTCCAAACCTGGCTTTTATCCTCTTGAGGGAGTGTCCATTACCATGCAGCCTTACTCCCGAGTCGCCCGTGCTGCTGTAACTGCTCTCTCCTACGAGCAATCCTGTGCGCACACGCACTTGGCACAGGCTCCTCGGGAACCTCCTCATCGCTGCTGCCAGCCCCCACAATCTCTGAAGGCAGCAGTCCACTCCCTTGATGGTCCTGGCCCCTCATCTGAGTCCTTGCTCTCCTCAGCCATCTGAACCTGCTGCCGGCTAACCACAACACATGCTCCAAAGCCCAGCCAGCTGTTACTTCCAGCCCAACCACCCTGGGAGTGGGGGGGAGATGGGCTCAACCCAATAGCAAATTCTCTAACCTTGGGTTCAGGTTGGAAGCTGTGACAGATTTGGAACTGAGCAACATCGTGGCAGCCAACGATCTTCTTAGTCCACCTTGGAGGTCTTCTAGTCCAGCCCCCTTGCTCAAGCAAGAGACCCTATACCAAGGGTCTCCAAACTTGGCAAGTTTAAGACTTGTGGACTTCGACTCCCAAAATTCCTGAGCTAACATGACAGGAGGAGGAATTCTGGGAGTTGGAAGTCCACAAGCCTTAAAGCTGTCCAAGTCTGGAGACCTCTGCCCTAGACCATTTCAGACCAGCGGCTGTCCAGTTTCTTCTTTAAAAAAACTCCCGTGATGGAGCACCCACAATTTCTGGTGGCAAGCTGTTCCACCGGTTAATTGTCCTCGCTATTAGGAAGTTTCTCCTTCATTCCAGGTTGGTTCTCTTCTTGGTTAGTTTCTATCCATTCCTTCTGCCTTCTGGGGGCTTTGGAAAATAAGTTGACCCCCCTCTTCTTTTGAGTCGACCTCTCAAATATTGGGAAGCTGCTGCAGTGTCACCCCTAGTCCTTCTTTTCCCCCTCCCGACTAGCTTCAATGACCAACCAAGAGCAGCCCAATGCCCCCACCCCAGCCTGGCCCTTACCTCTTGCTGCTTCTCCTCATTGGGGTACGTATCTACAAACACGCCCAGCCCTATGAAGGTATCCTTGCTCCCAAAGACCGGCCCTGGAACAGACAAGAAATTTGGGTTCACAACAAACCGCCCCGGCAAAGGTTTCTCCGATGTTTCGTAGCTTTCAGAAAAGCCAAAAGGATTTTCCCTTAAAAAGGGGAATGTTTTATAGCTCAGGGTTAAAATGAGGGATCCTTGGTGATCCTCTGAGCTTGCTCGTTTTCTTGCAGACAACCTGAACATTCGCCCAGTTTCTGTGGGTTGTGCAAGGTACAAAATATGAGGGTGACCAAACCTAGTTTGGTTTCGTTACCAAACTGGATCACATCATCAGCGCTAGAAGGGAATGGGGTTTGCAGAGGAGGAGGAGGAGGAGGAGGAGGAGGAGGAGGAGGAGGAGGACTGTAGAATCCTTGGTGCTCTCTGAACCTGCTTGTTTTCTTGCAGACGTTTCATTACCAAACTAGGTAACATCATCAGTGATAGAAGGAATTGGAGTTTGCAGGGAGGAGGGGAAGAGGAGGAGGGGGAGGAGGAGGAGGAGGAGGAGGAGGACTAGAGTCCTTGTGCTCTCTGAACTTGTTTTCTTGCAGACGTTTCATTACCAAACTAGGTAACATCATCAGTGCAAGAAAGTCTGCAAGAAAACAAGCTTCAGGGAGCCCCAAGAACCCCTAAGAATTTTCCTGTTTTTATAAAGGAAAAAGTTATGATTCTCTTCTGCGCTTGCCCAATTAAATTCTGGAAAACCTTACTGTCACAAGAAAACGTGTTTAGAAAGTGAGAGGAAGTTTTGCTTTGTGTCCATGGAGACGGTCAATCATGCAAGTCACGGTTGTTCTAAAGGCAACTGGACTGTCTTCTTGTTGTTTTTTCCCTTTTAAAATATCATTTCCCATCCAAGAAGATTCTCTCTTCCCCACCAGTCAAGTTAGAACGGAGGAAGCTTCTTGGATGAGAGGAGAAACATTTTCAAAGGTGGGGGGGGAAAAACCCAAGAAAGTCCAGTTGCTTTTTGGAAAAAGCACCTTGGAGACAAACTTCATTTAGCCTTTCATATTTTTTTCCCTAACAATACTTTTTTTTTTTTTAAACACATACCGGTGCAGGAACCCAAGGTTTCTAGTTTAGTTCAAGAGAAGATAATTTAGTCCAAAGTTGAAGATCCAACTGGGAAACATCCTTATATCTAACATACGAAATATTCTATAAAGTTTTTTTTCATTGGTTCTATGTCAGGATTCCGGTAGTTCCCCCCATTTAAATCATGAGTCTCGAGCCAAACTTCCAAAACTTAAAAAGGATTTATTGGGAGTTAACATGCTGGCACTGCCTGGGTGTAGCCGACTCTGAGGCACATCATTCATTGTCACCCTTGACCCTGGTTTCCCCCCCACCATCCCCTGGGTGTATCTGAATTCATATTCTCCAATGGGACACATCCATAGCCCAGAATCATCAATCAGGCTCTCCAGTTAGAATTTTGCAAGGCAGGAACTTCAGTCACCTAGAAACTATCTTTGGAAACATTTATGGAATGCACTTTCGGTTTGTGCTGCACTGCTCCCCCTCCCTTTCTGTTTGCAACTCTAAAAGGACCATAGAAATATTTTATGAGTTGACATTCTATTGAAGAAAACAAGGGAAAGTATCAACAGGTATCAAAGATACTCCTAACCAAGGAAAGGAGATCTTTCTAAAAATCTGCCAGCAAATGGGCTGACTTGCTACCAACCTGCCTTCCATGGAGGACTTGTCTACTGCACGAGTCAAAAAGAGGGCTGTGAAAATATCTACAGACCCCTCACATCCCGGACATAAACTGTTTCAACTCCTTCCCTCAAAATGATGCTATAGAGTCCTGCACACCAGAATAACTAGACAGTTTTTTCCCCAATGCCATCACTCTGCTAAACAAATATTTCCCTCAACACTGTCCAACTATTTACTAAGTCTGCATTACTATTACTGTTAATCTTCTCATCACTCCTTATCACCCATCCCCTCCCACTTGCAACTGTATGACTGTAACTTTGTCGCTTGTATCCTTACGATTTATATTAGTTATTACTAGTATGATTTGATTGCTTATTTGTACCCTACGACTATTAAGTGTTGTACCTTATGATTCTTGACTCTTGACGAATGTATCTTTTCTTTTATGTATACACTGAGAGCATATGCACCAAAGACAAATTTCTTGTGTGTTCAATCACACTTGGCCAATAAAGAATTCCTATTCTATTCTATTCTATTCTATTCTATTCTATTCTATTCTATTCTATTCTTCATTCCAATATTCTATTCTATTCTATTCTATTCTATTCTATTCTATTCCATTCCATTCCATTCCATTCTTATTGTACCCTATGACTGTTATTAAGTGTTGTCCCTGATGATTCTTGACTCTTGACGAATGAATCTTTTCTTTTATGTACACTGAGAGCATTTGCACCAAGACAAATTCCTTGTGAGTCCAATCACAC